AAGCATTTGTGTTCAGTATAGCCCTGATGATGCTACAGTTGTTGTAGTGAAACGCGTTGGCATTAAAGATTTTTACCATTTGTTGGATTTGGTGCCCCGAACCATGAATTGTTCAAAGATTCATCGTAGAAATGTTTTAATTTATGATTTATAATGCACGTGGTACATGGCTTTATGAAAAAAAACTTCAGAACTGTTTCTGTACTGCAGATGAGAATCGCGTATTCTTGCATCACCATATTCCACCGAACTGCAAAATGTTAGAACACCGAGTGAATACTTGCAAATCAGGGAAAAGTAATTATGTGTAATTGCCACTAGTGCATCGTACTCCGCTCCGCCTCTGCACATTGGCGGAGGACCGAAGCTTGCGAATAGTGCGTAAATCGCCATACACCGCTGTTATGCAGAATAGTACGTAACGCGCATATATTGCTGTGACGCATGAACATGATAAGTTCTTATACGTAATGCTCCTTTCTCTACCGAAGCCTGCCAATCAAACAGATAGTTTAAATTCAAATATGCGATTAACGGCAGCTTAGATTAGTCACTGAACGTCGATAAATTTAAATCCAATGGTGCAACAACGCGGATTACGGCTCTTTGCTGTTGCCGCGGGCGATGCACGTTCGAAACAGCGATTATTAAACGAAACGAATTGGCAACAGCAATAATAACAATTGACTGATCGTTATTGTTGATTAATGAGGCCGCCACTAGATCACCATCACTCTGTCTTGATATCCACGTTTATCTGTCTCGTGAGGTTTGTTTCCACCCATAAGCTTTAATTTCTTTTAGCCCATCGCAGCCTAGGGTCTTCCAGGCGGACGACTGCAAACTCGGTGGTTCCAAGCCTTCATTGTTGAAATCCGTGTGTGTGTCATCCATCATGCATACCCGGCGAGTTCTTCTGTTTGGCTGTGATTGTTGGTAGCTGTAGCTGATTGGGCGAATTTGCTTAAAATATTTGCCCTGTTTATCGAAGACAGACTTATTTGCTGTTTAACTCTAGCTCACACAGCCTTGCTCTAACTTCTTTCACCTCCGTTTCCAACAGCACATGTCTTCGGCAAACTGGCAGCGAGCCATCGGGCGTCTAGCGATGACTGCAAGTCATCCGTTTTCTAGAGTGCTCGTTTAAAGCTTGTGATGGTCAGTAGCCTGGGCGGTATGGTTTCTCACTGAAGAAATGCATTAGAAACCCGGAGTTCAATTCGATCTTCAAGCAACCGAATCTTCTTACTGTAACTTTTTAACAGTCGTTGTAGATTTCGGATGTAATCTTCTTTAAATCGTTCTCTTCCAACGCGCTGAAGACTGTTTCATGCTCTTCAGGGTCAAATGCCTTTCCTCAGGCGACAAAA